GAGCTGTTATAATGGGCCAGGGTCTTCCCAGCCTCTCCCCCAAAAAAACTCAGGATTTTAGTGGTTTTGTTATCTTGCAGAAAATCTGTTTGTTTAAAAGAAATATTTTAATGAGATTTGCCAGAATTGCAGCCAGGGAACGGGGCTCAGAGATGGAAATTACTAACAAAATTAGTTTGGGGGGAAAAAAAGGTATCAAACTGAGCTATAAATTGTGTGTGTGTGTGGTTGGGTTTGTTCAACCCTTCAGGAATCCCAGCAGATTTTTTGGGAGGAACTGGAGCCTCCATCAGTCTGGAAATACCTTCCAGCTGCACTGAAAGGACACGGAAAGGAAACCAAAGGGAAGCTAGTCAGAGAAATTTTGGGTTTTTTTAAATCTCTTTAGTAGTGCAATGACTTCTCAAGTGATAGTGGCTGCAGTTTGAAGAACATGAACAGAGTCTTGGATAAAACACCAGCAGAAACAAAATGGAAATGATGACAGTGAAATATTCTGGACGTCCAAGCTGAGCCATGACAGGTTGGTGATGGAATGTCAGGGATCTTCTACCTGGCACCAACAATAGGTAAAAGTGGGGAGGGAAAAAAAAAACCAACAAAGCAACATTCCTGAAAATACACACAGTGCTGTATTTCACACACAAGCCTGAGACAAGGTACTTAGAAACTTTCCTATAGAATTTGGGAATTATTTCCAACTTGTAATGAGGAGAAAAAAAAAGCATGAAAAGAAACTAAACAGGCTTCTCGTGGCTCAGAAGCACTTGCTGCCCTCAGGCTGGAACAGGCTGAGACCATCCCTGATTGATAGGTACCTGGGAGATTCTGGGTTTCAATCAACAGGGTTGTAAAATTAACAGCCATCTCTGAATTAATTAATTGCTTAATGACCCCTAGAAGCTGCTGTCTAACCCCAGGCAGGCAGCTGGAGCAGTCTCTGGGCTGGTGGATCTCCTCGAGAGGGTGGATCCAGAGGGTTTGGCTCATGAATGATCCCCCAAGTCCAAATAACATGTAGCTGAAGAGGCAAACAGACCCCACACCCCCCTCAGCAGTTGGTTTTTTTTTAGGGTAATATGTTAGTTTTAAATCACAGGACTGTATATTTAAAACTGGGGATTGCACAGACTCTTAAACTTGAAGAAAAATAACCAATGAAAAATGAACAGCTCTCCTAAGAGCCACAGGAGGAGGCTGTGACAGAATAAATTATACAAATAAACTTTCTCCTACTTATAGTGGGAACAGATGTAGAGTTGTGGCTTAGGTAAACCTAAATGAAGGCATTAATCTGTGTCATGGCTGTGAACTCTGCTTCAACTACCCTCAAATGGTGCTGGTGGGGGTGGTGAGCAGCACCAATCCACAGCCACAGATACAGAATTCTCCCTCAAATTTTAATCTTTCAAGTTCTCTGTCCCTGCTCTCACTTCTTCCCTGTGAATCTCTGCATTGCTGCCTGTTCAGAAGTGGGTGATGTCTCTGCTCCCACTGAAATTATAAATCCTCAGCCACCCCTAAGGTCTGGCTGGTCTGCAGCAATCCCAAAAATCTGAAGCTGAGGCACCTGGTTCTTGGCTGCTCATCTCCCCTCACCCATCTCCTGCCCCCACTGAAAGGCAGGAGGTGACAGAGAAGCCTGGAAACAACTCCATGGATGCTCCAACACCTCAGCCTGGCCAGCAAGGTTTCCTTTGGGCCTTTTCCTTCCAGGTGAGATGCAGCTGAGCTCAAAAGAAAAGGAGGAAAACGTGTAAGGAAAGCAACAAAACATTGTGCAAGGCAGGCAGCACGTTCACAAATTCTTAGCATCACTATTTGCCATAAAAGTAAGAAAAATCAGGGTTTTTTTTTTCCCAAAGCAAATGACTTTTTAACCATTTTGAACGTGGCTTGCTGAGAATGAAGTAACATGATGACTAACAAGCACTTTTTAAGTCCATTTGTTTGGTTTTAGGGTTTTTTTTTGTTGATTTTTTGGGTTATATTTTTTTTTTTAGGAAAGACTTCAGCAAAATAAAAGGAAGCTGACGTTAGACTCAGGATAATCAATTCTCTCATAAAAGTTTTACCAATGTACAAGGTTAAGAAAATTATACAAGCTTTTCTTTTAAGAAAGGACAGTTCAGTCAAGACATAAGTACTGTAAAAAAATCTTTCAAAGGCTACAAAGAAATCTGGAAAAATACAGAACGTATTTCTTTCGCCCAGATAAAAGAATATGGAAAGACATCATTGATGTCAACAATTTTACATAGACAAACCTGACCTGGTTTATTTATTATTTTTACCTTTTAAAACTTCTATATATATATAAAAATAGTTGTGCTCATAACTTTCAGGATTCATAAGGGTTCCTTAGCTCGCTAGCAGGAGTGGAAGTCTCTGTGCCTGGGCTTTCTGGTTTCACCTTGGACCAGCCCCTGCTACAAAACAGGAGGATTTGTTTCCTTTTACAACGCTCAAATGGATTTGTTACAGGTTGTTGGGATTATTTTTGCAGAAAATCACTGATTTCTTCCTCAAAGATTTAAGAGTTCCCAGAACTACAGCTCTGAGAAAGGGAATCTTCTCCTCCTGAAAAAAAAAAACAACACAAAACCACAACACTCAAATGGATTTGTTACAGGTTGTTGGGATTATTTTTGCAGAAAATCACTGATTTCTTCCTCAAAGATTTAAGAGTTCCCAGAACTACAGCTCTGAGAAAGGGAATCTTCTCCTCCTGAAAAAAAAAAACAACACAAAACCCCCCCAAACAATCAGAGCTAAGAGCCAACTAGAAGGTATTAGGAAAAAAAATAATAATAATAATAAAATAAAATAAATCTCAACAGATTATTTTAGGGAACTGGATTTTGGTAAGGTAACCCATCAACCCTGAAAATTTTAGACACCCAAAAAATTTACTCCGCGGAATAAAATCGCCTCCTGCTTATTCAGTCATCCACAGTTTTTTCTAGTTCCTCCAGCTTCCCGTGGGAGTTGGCTTCTTGGAAGAGCTCTGAAGAACCTGGACTCTCCTTTCCACTGCTGTTGATTCTCCTTCTTTTGAGAGGTCTTTCATTTTTTTCTTCCGAATCGGTGTCGTTCCTGGCAGCTGGGTGGGGGAGTTTGGGCTCTGGGGGGAGGGTTTCAGTCTCATACCCGTTGGTGTCCAGCTCCCTGTGAGGGGTTTTCTTCCCACTGCTAGGTCCATTGACGTGCAACCCTTCCACTTTGGTTTCCTCTTTAGTGGGCACATCACCCGGCCCGTTGGCAGCCACCCCTGGGGGACAGACAAACCATCAGAGAGAGGACTGAAGCAGCAGCAGCAACACACAACCACCCCTGGCAGTCAACAAAGCAGGAGTCCAATGAGTCCCCCTGAACAAAAAAGCCAAAATTGTTCTCCCAGTGTGATGAACAAGGGATTTGTCTGCACACCAATCACAGATTCAGCACGAGTCTAGAGCAACAGAAGCCACACAACTGTCCTGGCTTTCTGCTGGGGGTCAGGGCAGCGCTGGGACTGGGTGGGCCCAGGACTCAGCCAGGCAGAAGGAAGAGCTGGATGTGTTGGGGCAGGGCCAGAGGAGCCCCAGCAATGCCCCGAGGGGGGAACCCCTCTGCTGGGAGCCCAGCAGGAGAGAGTTGGGCTGGGGCAGCCACAGAGGAGAAGGCTCCAGCTGGGGAGACCCCCTGGGGGCTGCCAGGACTGCCAGGGGCCTGCCAGAAAGCTGGGGGGGGGCTTTTGAGCAGGAGCTGTTGGGACAGGACAAGGGGGGATGGTTTGAAACTGAAAGAGGGAGATTTAGGCTAGAAAGAAAGAGGAAATTTGTTCCCCTGAGGGTGTTGAGCCCCTGTCCCAGGCTGCCCAGAGAGGTGGTCGCTGCCCCATCCCTGGCACCATCCCAGGGGAGGTTGGATGGAGCTCTGAGCACCCTGCTCTAGCTGCAGATGTCCCTGCTCCCTGCAGGGGGTTGGACCAGATGCCCTTGAAAGGTCCCTTCCCACCCAAACCTCTGTGTGACTCTGTTCCTCCTCCCAAGGTTAGCACTGCACATCTCCACTAGCATGGGGAAGAGAAGAACAGACTAACTGCACTGAAAAAGGAAGAATTTAGAGAAGATTTGGCCTCAGCAGGCGACCACAGCCCAAATGCAAACATGCAGCTCTTTATAAAAACTCCTTTAACAGAAAGCTGTCAACACCTTGGGGAATATCCCAAATTCAGAGAGGTCTGTTCCTCTCCTCTGGCTTGTGCTCTGTGCCAGTGGGGCAGCTCTGCGGAGGAGGAGGAGGGACTCACCGTTCTGGTTACTGCTGCTGGTGGTGCTGTCCTCCCTCTCTGAGTGGCTGGTGCTGCTGTTGGAGGCTGTGGGAGGAGGGGATGGGGCTCTGCTGGATGCAGCACTTTCACTCTCATCCAGGAGACGGTCCATGTAATCTCTGCAGGACAGAAACAGCACCCTCAGCACTGCCCCTGTTGCCTAAAATCAGTGGCATTTGTCCCAAAACAGTCACTGCAAGCTCCAGCCAGCCACGGGGTGACAGCTGCTGGAACGTGGGGACCCAGCTCATCAAGCTAAAACAGCTTTAAGGTCTCTGTGTCAGAGACTTTGGAAATTCAGCCTGTCCCAGAAGCTCCTGTCTGAGCAGCAGCATCACTGTGCTGCCACTTTGTGCACCCTGTGTTCCAGGGGAGGCTCTGGGGAAGGTTTGAACTAAGCTCCTGACACTTGCTGTGATACCACCAACATTAAAGTAAAAAACTTCTACCCACATCCAACCTCCAAAGGGTTAAATTAAAAGCAAATGAAAAATGTCAGCATTAAAGATGTTTCCCTGTCTGGCATCTACTAACAGTGCTACAATTTAGGTCACTGACAGTAAATCTTGCCTGAAGGATTTAAGCAAACAAAGCTGGTTGGTAAAGCCCTTGTATGTGTGGTATTAGTCTGGATTAACTCCAGGAACAGCACATCCTCACACATCGTTCTCCTGGAGCTGATACTGTGCCCTCAACTCCCACCTCTAGCTGCAAAATCATTCAAGAATACACAAGCAGCATCCTGAATGACACTTCTTTGGATCAACACAGCTTTAAGTGACTAACAAAAAGTTTTAAGTGACTAACAACTAACAGTGACTACTGATCTGGGCAAAAATAGAAAGATAAACCCCCAAGGGCTGGAGGAAGAGGGGGGGACAGCTCAGGTTTGAGGGAGAACACACCACTGTGCACAGACACCTCCCTCCTTGCCTCGCAGAGCTGTGAATGGGGAAAGTTGCCCGTTCCTACCCAAAAAAAAAGCCCTAGTACAGGGTGCTGTGCTGGCCAAAATTCTTCCTAAAGAAGCCATCTCAAGAGTCCGCTGCAGCTCTCACCTGAAAGATGTGACTAGTGCCTCTGAATAAAACACAAGCTTTTAAAATCCCCCCCCAATTGTGGACATTTCTGACACGTTTGAGCAGAAAGAAGCCAAATTCAACAGCTGTTTGAGGCAAATTGGTGGCGTGACTTCAAAGAAATGATTTTAAAACTTACACTCGGGTCCTAGCAAGCTGCTCTTACACCTTGGCTGTTTCCAACTGGGCCCGTGGAGCCCCTGGGCTGTCAGAGCAGCTCAGATGAGAGCAGTGAAATGAAGGTTTAGCCCCCCAAGGTGTAAAAAGGCCACGAAAGAGAAGGCCCAGCTTACGTCACGCCGGGGTGCAGGTTGTATTTCTTCTTTCCAAAGCGGGTCTGCTGAGCGAAGAAATCGTAACGCTCCGACTTCTTCCACATGTAGTAGAAGGCCACACACTCCCCCACCGACCTCGTCCTGACCTGGGGGGACAGGGGCAATGTAAAAATGTTGAATTTGCAGAAAAAAAAGCCACTTTTTGAAGCAAAAAGTGTGAAATTCCAACTCGGCGCTTCTTTCTGCGGCCCCCAAAACGGAGGAAACGGTTCCGAGTTCAGAGGAATGAGAAGTGTGAAGTTGAAAAGTGTTTGTGAGGCTGCTGGAGATGTTGTCAGGAGAAATAGTGAGGTCTGCTCAAGGCCAGAGTGAGGCTCCAGGGGTGCTGATCTCCAGGGAGCAGGATTTGGGCGCTCCTCTGAGCTTGGGGTGCGCAGCCACAGCGACGGAGGATGCTGGATTTGGAGGAACCCATTTCAGGTGGATGGAGTAAAAATGAGAAGTGGTTAAAAAGAGTCATTTGTGAAGGCAACTGAGGATGAGGATGTATTTGCAATGATATTGCTTTAAAAAACATGTGATAAATAGACTTAAAATCAGGGTTTACCTTATTTGCTTGGATGACATGAAAATCCTTTCCGTAGACTTTCAGCCCTTGTTCAAAGTTCCTGCATTCTTCTTCTGTCCAAACTGATAATTCTTCTGTGGGGAGGGAAGGAAAGAAAGGAAATAATTAACCAAAAAAAAAGCATCTGGGCAAGGAAAGAAAACTCCAGGGACAGAAAGGGTACGTGGTGTTCAGGTGTCTTGACACCATCTGCTGACTAACTGGGAAACACCTCCAGGAATGGCACTGACTAGATCAAAAATGACAATTCTCCCTCCCAGTGAGGGGGGGGAAATTTGGCTGCCTGCAGCAGCTGGTCAGGAGGGAGAGGAAGAATGAGTGGAGAGGAATCTCATGAAGTTCAAGCAAGGCAAGGGGCTGCA